ATATATATATATATATTTCTTTGAAAGTCATTCTTGAGTGGGGAATGAGGTAAATATATTTTAAAGAATTTACTCCTATCCATATGTTATACGTGTTAGGTAAAAGGTCATTAGTCTAAAAATGAATATAAATATTGGCAGCCAGTGGTATTTTGAAGACAGGCTGAAAACAGCCTCAACAAACTACTTTGAACTTCAGTATTATGGTTTCTAAGGTTCACTGTTACACTCTGACCTAGGTGTACTGAGGAAGGTTGCACATTCATCTGTAACCACGGAGTTCGCGGCTGTCAGCTGCAGCCCCTCCCCTTTTTACAAAATCATTGTGGTGTAGACTGACCTTCTCGGTACGAGATATAGCTCTCACAAGGGTATGTCCATCCACCTGGACCCAGCGAAAGATCTACAAGCTCAACCTGGATTGATTTGCCTTTCGGCGCTTGAAGTCTCCACTTGCACTGAACATCGCTGTAATGGAACAAAGAACAATTTCCTAAGTGGGAGTAGAGGAACAAAAACCCCCTAAAATAATCTGAAAAATACGTGGATGACCCGGGGGAGGGGGAGCGGGAGGGGGGGGGGAGTTAATATTACGCCTCTGACAAAATACCCCATTTTGATTTAGAAGACAATCATTTCCTTACCGGTACTGCAATCAAACATTCAGAAAACGCCAATACTCTAGTTGTTGACCAAAAAGTATGTGTTAATCCATGTGAGATTTATCAATGTCATGCTCCTTCTGCGCTGGAACAACATAGGGGGGAATTGCTGCTTTTTCTTTCCTTATCCTTACTATCGTCATTTTCCCTCTACTTCTTTTGTGTGTTTGTCACTCTCTTGTGAACTGCTATTCCCGGGGTGCCTTGATAGTCGAAGCAGACTTTGTGCTGTTGAGGCAAGAGAGGTGAGCAGAGTAAGCCTGATTCCCCGTTTCGACTTCGCTGTTGACCTCCACCCCTTGTCGCTCACATGACCTTATGCAGTTGCGAGCGCTGTAAAACCTTATTAAAACTAAAACAAAACTAGCGTGTCTCTGTGTGGGAACAGATTCATTTTATCTATTGAGGATCTCCGTCTATCTACTGAGGCGCTGTATCCCTCATAGGCCGGGTTGGCGCTTACAGACAGAGCCAAAGTAGTCCGCCTTCTGAATGTTCTAAGTTGTGTTGATGGGGGCGTAAAGCATTTACTATTACTATTACATTTTTTACAAAGTGGGTGGTTGACGGGTGCTAAAGTGTAATTTGCTGCATCTTTCCTATCAATCATCTATCGTTCATTTCTCTCCCCCTTCTTTTCTCTGTGTATGCTACTCTCTTGTAATACCTCAAGACCTCGGCACTTGTATTGTGACCTTTTTGTGTTGCGAGTGCCGTAAGACGTTAACTAAAATAATAATAAAATTTTTAAAAACCCAACCCTACAGACCATTTCCCCAGTCCCCTGTGAACTTTTCTACCCTTTGGTATTTATGTTAAATATCCGATGTGCTGCACCAATGTATGTAATTGCCGAGCCTTATGTTAAAATGTGTGGATGTATGAAGCAAAGGCCTTTCAAATCAATAAATCATTTGGAATCTCAAAAATCTCTGACCCTTGGTACTGCTGAGGGTAGTCCGCAGAGTTAAAGTCCAGGCTGTCTGTGCCGACCTCCACTGTCATCTCGGAGCCGTCACATCCTGGAACAGAAGAAGACCATGAGTGCGGGTGGTTGGCGGGTGCTCTGGTGTGGTGTGCTCCTTCATTCCTATCAAATATATATCGTCCTGATCCCCCCTACTTCTTTTTGTGCTTGCTACTCACTTGTGACACCGTTTATATTCTGCAATTATATGAACTTATCGGGTTTACAAGTGCCGTGAAACTTTTGCTAAACCTAAAACCACAAGTGACATACAGAGTACTTTGTTTCATGCACCGAAACCACTCTTTAGTTTAGTCTTGGAGCGAGTTTTACGGCACTTGCTACACAATTCGGTCACATTATTGCCGAGCATTAGAGATGTTACGAGAGGGTTACATGATATAAAGAAAAGAAGAAGGAGAAATAAAGATGATAGATATTTGATAGGTTCAAAGATGCAAACCTTACAGAGCATCCATCCCCCATCCACAAAATCACTAGAAGACTGTACGTACAACAAAACAGTTAAATAGTTCCAGAGAATCTCTCTGGCGATCGTCAGAGGCAACGCCTTCTCAATATTGGCAGCCCCACTGACGCTCAAGTGATGGATTACAGCTCCCGATTGATAGATGGATAGATAGATGGATGGATTGATGGATGGGTGGATGGATAGATAGACAGATTGATAAATGGATGGATAGATATATGGATAGATGGATGGAAATATAGATGGATAGATAGATAGATCGATGGATGGATGGATGGATGGATGGATAGATAGGTAGATAGATAGATAGTGGCGTCGATGGCCTAGTGATTAGGACTCGTAATTGTGTGGTTGCGGGTTCGGGGGTTCGAGCCGCGGGCCCGACGTTGTGTCCTTGGGAAAGACACTTTACACGAATTTTCCTCACTTCTCCCAGGTGGGAATGGGTACCCAGCTATAGACAGTGAAAGATCTAGTCAGTATGTTAGTGTTTTAGCGCCTATAAATGGCAGCTTGCTCTGTATGCTTACCAGGAAGTTGAGGTTGTTTCAGAATGCTCTCAGATTTTGCTGGGGTAATAATATAGATTGTGAAGCGCATTAAGCTTGCTGTTGAGCGGGGATTTGGTTATTAGATAGATAGATAGATAGATAGATAGATAGATAGATAGATAGATAGATAGATAGATAGATAGATAGATAGATAGATAGATAGATAGATAGATAGCCAGAGGGTTTGACATCTGGGGTAGGGTTATGTTTAGGGTAGATCTTTTTGTAAACACCTGCTAGCTGTATTCTAGAAAATCCCTTAATAAAATATACTAATTAAAAATCCCAGTGGGTGGTTTCTACAAATTTTAAAAGGTTTATAGTTGGGACAATATCGCTTTTAAAAGCAAGTTCATTATTTCATTTTCTCATCGCAAGAGTTAGCTTATTGAACGCATGTTATAAGAACCTAAAGTGCAAAAAGTGTTAACTATAAAATCAATTTCTTGTAACAAGCTTTACCACAAGAAAGTGTCATTGGTGAGCTGTGATTTAGGCCATATATTATAATGCGTATGCAAAATGTGTGTGAGAAGCGTTAAGTGCCGTGAATAATCCCATTTTCGGCGTGACAGAGATTTGTAATATTTTATATAAATTCATGAAAAAAAGTTTATTTTATATCTATCCTCTGTTATTTAGGAAAATATGATTAAGTTAAGACAAATTTAAACAAACTGTATGTGCAAAGTATGATGGGGGGGGGGGGGGGGGGGCATTGATTCACCCGTTAAAGAGATATTTGAGGATAAGTTACGCCTCGAATTTTTTTATCGCAATATGGAGACCTAGATCGAGTAGCAATTTGACAACTGAGGCCTGAAATTTTAGTGCAGCTCGTAGTGCACTCAAGGCACATTTTTTAAAGGCTCTGGTCACACTGCACGCAGAGCGGGCCGAGCAGTGAACATTACTACAAAGACAAAGAGGTGACGGGGGGCTCTCGTGGCCTAGAGGTTAAGGTGTTGGCCTCTCATTCAAAAGGTCCTTGGTTCGAAAATGGGTAGCGACCGAAAAATTTTCTTCTCTAAATTGGTCTCCTTTCCCGTCATTTCCTGCTTTCTAGCAATGTTCTGTCGTCTGCTTTCGTCTCCTCTTTCTGCCCCAACCCCCCTCACCTCCTTTACCCCTTCCTCTGGGCTCCTGATTCTTTTTGCAGCCTTTCTACTGCTACTCCTTGCCTCCTCCTTACTGTTGTCTTTCTGCCACACCCCTGATCTTCTGGTAGGAAAGATCTACACCTAGCCTTCTCGGACAAGAGCAAAAAGTCTCGGAGGTCCCGTGTGCAAGTTGGGCACGTTAAAGATCCCTTGGTGGTCTAAAATCGATAAGAGTAGGCTTCGGCCACCACCCGGGCAAAATTCAAAATTTCCTACCAACTGAAAATATTAGGTGTGTCCCGCGCGCTCATATGACCTTATGCAGTTGCGAGCGCCGTAAAACACTTTAGAAAAACAAAACAAAAAACAAAAGACAAAGAGGTGACTGGCAGTTTGACCCGCCTTTAATTTTCCCTGCTCTGCTACGCTCAGTCTGCTCTGCTTGCAGTGTAGCCACAGCCTTAGGCCGGTCCCAGAGTGGCTCTGTAAGTCTGACCTGTAGCTCGCCTGGCTCGCACCGTGCAAATGAATGTATACATTAACGTGTGCTTAAGCAGCGTCGCTGTGTCGTCTGTTTTTTGTCAGCTGAGCTTCGCGATGCGTCAGACGTGCTATTCAACAGTGTTGTAAAAATGACGGACATGTGTGGCCTCGCTTCGTGTTTATTTTCGATTAAAACTCTTCACAGATCATCAAAATCAACAAGAAGCAAGTATTATTAGGTGCTTTACTATTAAATATTGATGCTAGCATCAACACTTGGCCGCAAAATCATCCAGAAATGCACTTTATCATACTTAGAAACTTCGAATCGAGAGATTGACCTAGTTTCGACTGTTGTCGTAGGCCTAGGCCTAGGCCTAGATCTACGCGTGCTTCTCTAAATTCTAGATCTAAATCTAGCCTTGCATTGTAACCAATGTAAACTTGGATTACACGGTACCTAGATATAGCAAGGCAGACCCGTCAGTTGCACACCTACACGCGTCAACACAGTGCGGCTGTGCTGAGACGCAGCGAGTGTGCCTCGCACTCGCTGAGACACAGGCGCCAACCCACAGTGCGGCTGTGCTGACACGCACACGTGTGCGCCAGGCCAGCTACAGGTCAGACCTACAGAGCCACTCTGGGACCAACCTTATGCGTTCTCGTCGCAAACGCCTCGCTTCTGCGACGATCCCACTCCTGCGGGCCTCACGCTTCTTTTGTAAATAAAATTTGTCGTCATCA